ATATTGCTTTGAGTATAAAAACGCGAACCTCTGAAAGTACATTCAGAATTTTCATTGTACACATAGTACATGCTTTCCACTTTCCTACTCTCTATTTCTGTTACCTTGATTACTGAGAGCTTAGTATCATTACAACATCTGGATTTGTAAGCAAGACTTACGCTTGTTATCGTCGTTGTCATGTGTGCATATATATAAACTCTTTAATCGCGCTATTTGGTGTGTATTAATTATTTCAGTTTAATCAATGTATACAACTCTTATCAAATATTCTTCACATAGTCCGATTTCCATCGGAATATTTATCTCTCTTTATGGCTTTTCTGATTATTTCTCAGTTGTTCCCTCCTCTTCTTTCTGATACCGTGGTAGCTAACAAGGTGAAAATATGACATCATACTATTAGTGTCTTGTCATGTTAGGTATATATCGTTAAGAACAAGCTAAAAGATAGAACGGATCTAAAACAACTACTACTTCCTGTTACTACTACTACTACTTCTATTACTACTACTACTACTACTACTACTACTACTACTACTAAATTCTCACATAAGTTTATTATAGCTGCTATGGCGGGGGGATTGGGGAACTCTAATCGATCGCATATACCAAGTCATCAGAATTGAAGCAAAGTAAATTTTTCTACTCAACTTTGGCAGTCGGGGACATTAAGTATGAGTATGCAACTATTTCAACACGATGAACTTGAGCTAATGTAAATAAACAATTCGAATAATTGAATTTGCTTTCAACGGTTCCTGTTGTTTATTCTGAATATATTTTGTATTTTTATAAATTTTGTATATACACGCCAAACTCTGTGACTGTAGCCAAACTCATACAGTCCAGTCATCTTAGAAATTTGGGATGAAAGAGTTGTGTTGCCAAACATATAGTTAAAGCTTATCACCTATTATTTATCTCCATATCCTCCGATTATATGTGTGATTTATCTCACACCATGTCCTCAGTTCTCTTACAAATTTCGCACAATAATTGAGCTATTGACACTTAATTTTAATAGTGTGTGACCTCATTAAAAATGTTTAATTTGCTGAACTCATAGATGAACTTAAATATAAACCTCATTTTCTGTTTTTTGAATATATTTTTTGTTTATTTTAAGAGAGTACATTGGCCTGTTCATTCACTATTTGTTGACAATTTGGTGGCAGTTGAAGATCGATTAATGCTGTTTATTATATGACAAAGCCTCGTTTCGTTTCATCGTATTTTAAATTGTATAAAAATATCAAAGATTGTTTACATTCACATTTAACGATCTCAAAATCACCCTCGCTTTTTCGTGGTTATTCTGATTAGTTCTTTATTGTAGCCCCTTCTTCTTTCCTGGTGGCCTGGCACTTTGAGAGAGAACATGAAAGTTTCGCGCACTTTTTGGAGTACTTTGGAAAGAGTACTTTGAGAATGCATTTTTGTTGAAGACTCACTTAAACACAATGAACAGAATGAATTTGCATGTATCTACAGTTAAAGTTAGTTCCCGTTGTAAACAATTTTTATGTTAGTCCCTCTTACTGATAAATACATCTAAAATTCCAAATAGCATTGATTTGTCATCAGTTAAAGATTTGTTAAAGCACACAATTGAATACAATAAATATATGTTATATGTACTAAATATAGATAATATTTGTACATTGCTTTGGTGAAATAGTATTTGGGATCATGGAATTATTAGTTATTATTATTATTGTTGTTAAATTGAATTGGTAATCTAAAAGACGACAATCTTTAGCTTAAATATGTTAAATAAGAAAATCTGCCTGTTCTTGCTTTCAGTGGTTCTCGATTTTTATATATATGATTTTATCAATGAAAAACAAGTCAGTCTGTTTTTTATTTTCGGGTTACATGTCCATTAAATACAACTTCTTGTGAATTAAATTCAGAGTAAAAAAAAGTTTTTGAATTGAAATTCGCTGCACTTGACTTTTTTGACTAATGGTATTTTGCGAAAATTAACATCACTCAAAATAATTGGAATGATGATTAAATAAATTCTAAATATGTATGTGTTTATTATGTTCAATCGATTTTAATACAAAACGGCAGTTAATGCTGCCTTGTCTTAAACCATTTCTGATCAATTCAGTGAAAATATTATAGATATTTCCTTACATTGAATTCTGATCGCTTGGTAACTATGTGAACTCACTCTAACTACCTGACTGACTTACATGACTCCAAATGATTATGTCACTTTACTCATCTGAGTTTATTTCTATCGAACATCCTCAAAATGCTCCTAATTTAAATAGAGTGCTTCCCGGTGGTACATTGACAACGCTTTGTTTGATTCTTAATGATTCAATGATCTTACTGAATTTTTAAAAGAAATTATATGACTATAACAAGTTTACTTCTAATACGGTTTAAGCCATGAAAGGTAATCTCTTGACATTGCGAAACCACATTTATTCAAAAAGGACTTTAAGTAGTAAATTATTCAATTAGAACATACTAAAATTCAAGTCTTAAGAAAGTCCTCATTTGTACATCTGAAAAATGAAACTTCATGTACTCCACTGGCACTCTCAGCTAACAAAAGAGCATATCAATACTCTAAAATTTTCACAGCTTGAAGAGTCTAAGCCTAATTCTATTATTGTCCAATAAATTATATTTATGAGAAATGAACAAATGATGTTGATCTGAATGTAAACAGGCGATTGAAAATATCGCGTCATATTTTTAGCAACATCCTGTTCTCTACCAGGTCATCAGAAAGAAAGAAGATAGTACGACTGAGGAATAATCGAAAAAGTCATAGACAGGTTAAAATGTTTTTGTTGAATACAAGTCTCTGTTTTACGATCGTTAAATGTAAATAAACTTCTGTTTTTATGTTTTCAATTTAATAATTAAAAATTTGCAAGCAAAACAATGTTCAACATAATCGACGAATAAAGTTCAATATGTTATAAATAGTCCTAATTTGGTGAATAAAAATCAACAAAAAGTTATAGAAAGTGAAATGCCTGCTTCCAACGAAACGAGGATACAGAATGTGCTGTAATGCATTGTTGACAGTTTCTGATCAAAACAATCGATTCAAATGTTTGGATCTAAACACTTTATACCATACAACTACATTCATAATCAAAAGTTATTTTTTTATTAAAGACTACTTGAGATTAGCATAGTCTCGCGTATGTTTGTCTTGTCATTTTAGTTATTAAGATTTTTTCTCCTACATGTTTTTTAACGTTGCTTTAATAAAAGATACTAATAGAGTTATGAGAATTCTTGAACCATAATCATTGTACGATAGTAATACGTAAAATATGTGCACTTGTATAATAAATTACATCAGTGTAATTATCTCATACACCGAAGGTCATACGTTTCGGCTCTAATCCGCTAAGCACCCTCGAAAAGTATCTTAACCACCTGAAAAACATTTGGATTGTGTCAATTTAATCACATAAATTTGTGTGATTTCACATTACACATTACACTTTAGCTGTTAACAGCCACGATAATCTGACTTCATACAGAAGGCAAAAAACTAATTGAAGACATAGGTTGCAACATGTTGCCGCGAATCCACAAATCCACAAATCCACGAATCCACGAATATGAGGACAACTTGTATCAAGCGATCAAGCGATCAAGCGATCAAGGTACAAGTTGAATGGGGAAACTGTGAATATAAACACCAGGCGATCAGAAAACTCTGTGCAAAACAATTGAGCAAACCAAGTGCAGACAGATAGATTCACAAGCTTCGCATTTTAAAACTTGTGTAGATATAAAATTGTGTGTTTCATTGTAGAATGTAAACAAACTCACATTTTTTGGTTTCTGCAATAAATAAATATTACAATTAAACTTATAAAAATATTTTTTTTTCTATTTCTTCGTTTTGTTCTATAATCAAACCTAATATCAATATAGTAATGGCATTTCTGCCTTTACCCTCAATTCCTGAACTTGGGCTTTAACTGCGGATTTTATGTTTATTGCCTTAAGTATAAAAACGTGAACCTTTGAAAACACATTCAGAATTTTCATTCTACACTTACCACATTTTTTTCACTTCCCGACTCTCTATTTCTGTTACCTCGATTTCAGTATAATTATTGGATACAGCTCTCATCAAATATTATTCACATAGTCCGATCTGATGAGAATATTATTCTCTCTTTATGGCTTTTCTGATTATATCACAATTGTACCCTCTTCTACCTTCCTGATGGCCTGGTAGCTAATAAAAAGAAATTGTGACGTCATACAAGCAGTGTACTATTCATACTAAGTATGGTATATATAGCTTTGAACAAACTAAATGAGAGTACAGATATAAACCACGATTACCATTATTACTTTTAGTACTTCTGCTTATACTACTGCTATAGAAATTTTCGAAAAAGTGTTGATGCATGAGTATTCACGAGAGGAAAGGCACGAGAATTGGGGGAACACGAACTGAACACATTGGCCAAGTGATCAGAATCAGAACAAAGTAAACTATTGTCGACAATTTGGTGGCAGTTGAAAATCGACTGATATTCGTGCTGTTTGTTATATGACAAAGCCTCGTTTCGTTTTATCGTATTTTAAGAATACAATTTTAAAGAAATCAAATCTTATTTACATTCATATTTAACGATCTCAAAATCACCCCCACTTTTTCATGGTTCTTCTAATTACTTTATTATTGTAGCCTCTTCATCTTTTCTGATGGCCTGGTACCTTTAGGGAACAGATTGAAATTTCGCGCACTTTTTGGAATACTTTAAAGAGAACACTTTAATGATGCATTTCTGATGAAGACTATCTGGAACACAATAATGGAATCTTGCTTAAACCTGCGCTTTATATTAATTCTATTTATAAAAAATTTATACTTCCACCTTTCTTGATGAAAAAACGTCTAAAATCTGAATTATAGTGTTGCGTCATCAAATAAATAAATAAAGATTCTTTAAAGCTACAATAAGTATATGTATTAGATGAAGACAGTATTTGTGTCATTGCTTTGGTAAAAGAGTATTTGGGATCATGCAATTATTAGCTATTGTTATTATTGTTGTTCAATTGAGTTAGTAATCCAAGAAACGATAAGCTTTAGCTTAAATAAATAAACAAATCTGAATTTGTTTCAGCGGTTTTTGATGTTTATATTAAAATTAATAAAAATCAAGTCTGTCTGTTCTCCATTAAATATAACTTCTTGTGAATTAAATTCAGAGTGAAAAAAAAAGATAATTTTTGAATTCAAATTCGCTGTACTTGACTTTTTTTGACTAATTTTGGTATTTTGCCAAAATTAACATTCACGCAAAATAAGGAAAATGACGATTAAATATAATTTCTAATTATGTATGTGTTTATTATGTTCAATCGATTTAAATACAAAACAGCAGTTAATGCTGCCTTGTCTTAATGCTTTTCTGATCAATTCTGTGAAAATATTATGAGATATTACCTTACATTAAATTCTGATCGCTTGGTAACTATGTGAATTCGCTCTAACATAACTCCCTGACTGACTTGCATGACTCCGAAGGGTTAGGCCACTTTACACAAACATGGTAACAGTTAACATAGACTTAGTTGTAAAGAATTGATGAGATATTGACACAGTGGTGAAGAAATGGAAGTACATATATTTCATCACTGAAACCTTTACATCCACTGTTTCCCACAAATACTAGGGAAACAGAAAAGCAGTGAACATTGAAAGAAGCAAAGCAATCGCAAGGCAAACTACAATGACAACCAGACTGAAATTTAATATTGTACCTCACTACGATCACTTTCAATAAAATTCATATATTTCTGATACATATTTTAGTAAACTATTTATTTATTATTTATTAGTCACCCAAATAACGTCACCCAAAACTTCGAAATATTATCCATCCACTGGTGATGTGTATTTGTGAATACCTAAAACAGCTGTATGTTCTGCCCAACATCAAAATAAATAAAAACTAAATTTATATATATACAACTGTTCAGAACGCCTTTCAATTTAGAAAATAATTTCAAGTAATAATCAAATTTAAAAAGTATGGTTTGAAGTCTCTTCTATATCATATATTATATTATGTTCTATCAATATGTGAAACACGAGAACCCTAAAATCCTACACATTATAACAAGGATTTAATTTAGACTTCTTTCAGAAGATTTAAAATTAATTGTAGACATAAGTTGCAACATGTTGCCACGAATCCACGAATCCTCGAATATGAGGGGTTCGACCAAGCGATCGATTATACAAGTTGAATGGGGAAAATGTGAATATAAATATCAGGCAATCAGAACATTGCGCAAAACAGTTCAGGAAACCAAGTGCAGACGGATACATTCACTAAGCTCGCATTTTAAAACCAACCTTACATTCTTTGGCTTTGCTTCCACTGTAGGAT